CCCTGAAGCAGGCGCTGGATGCGGCTGCCTGGGAAAGTTCACCATGCTTCCTGCCGGCAAGCAAGTCCTGAGGCTGGGCTTGGGAGGCGCGGCCCGTAGTGCCCCAGCATCAGCTCTTCGGTCCTGGGGTGTCCCCCGTTACTGCAGCGGCTCTGCACCCCGAGACGCTGGTGAGGGCGGAGGGCGGGAGCTGGAGGTGGTGAACGAGGGAGGGGGGCTGGCTCCCGGCGCCCCTCACCAGCTCTCGCTGCCCCTGCAGGGAAGGTTCACAGGGTCCCTGCGCAGCTCAAGCCCTCGCAGCTGGACAAGAGAATCCTGCTGTGGACCGGTCGGTTCAAGTCCCTGGAGGAGATCCCGGCGCGGGTCCCGTGAGTGGGGGAGGGGTGGGTCGTTGCAGGACGGGCTACCTGCGCTTGCCCGGAGGCCACGGTGCGATTTGTTTCTCCGCGGTACTCGTCAGCACACGGGATTTATCGTCCTCCACTTCCCGGCGCGGTTCACTGTGAAGCTCTAGACAGAAAACAGCTAATGTACACGGAGGTCGAGGAAGTTAGGCAAAAACCAGACTCCTTGGGCTCCGTCACCATAACCCACCTGGCCTGCCCCGAGTCCCAGCGGTGGGCGGGGCGGGGGCTTGAGCAGAGCGCGAAGGCAGGGGCGTCGTCTGCACCCCGGTGCTGCCTTGGCTGCTCCACTACCGAAGGAAGAGCCCTCTCTCTGAGCAGGGTGTGCGGCTCTCCGGGTTTCCTAGGTTTCTCACCTACGCAACCTCCTGTGGTGCAGCAGCCCCAGCCTGGGCCTGGGACCGAGAGAGGACGCTGCCATGGTTGGTCTCATGACCCTAAAACCACCAGGGCAGAGGTTTGGTAAGGGACCAAACCCAAGCTAGCAGCTTCACCTCCAGGGTAATGGTCTCCAGAGTAAGTAGCCTACGAGTAATAACATTTTAAATAAGGAAATGTAAACTTAAAAAAAAAAAACAACCTTACTCCCGTAAAGACATCCCCAGAACTTTTACGAGAACAGATAAAAAGAGAAGGAACTAAGAATAAAATCAATCTACTAGTGTTAAAACCGAACATTTTGAAAAGGGGGGGGGAAACCCCAACATGTTGATGCATGCCTGTAGTCCCAGCACTCGGGAGACTAAGGCAGAAGGATCACAAGTTCCAGACTAGTCTGTGCAGTTCAGTCATTTAGCAAGACCCTGTCTCAAAATAAAAAATCAAGATGGGGCAGAGATGTAGCTCAGTGAAAAGGCCTTAGGTTCAATTCCCATTACAAAATAAAATAAAAAGCACAAGAACAAACAAAAAACTTGTAAAGAAAGGCTAAAACCAAAATATCGAATAAGGATTTCAGATGCTTTGTATACGTGTACAATGCAATTAACGAATGCATATTGGAATAAATAGTAGAAATCGGGCCTACATGTTGCTCGTCACTATTGCTATAGTTTTGTTGCTATTAGTTTGCAGTTTACCGAAAGCACTTCAAATAAGTGGGGGGAGAAAAAAGTGGGAAATCTAAAGCATTTCTGTTCCTTTTTGGATCAAGAGATATTGAATGTAGAATAGACATAAATTTGAAATAACATTGTTTTCTGAAATCTTCCTGTGCTTATTCAACTGTAGAAACATTTTCTTTTTTAATTAAATTGAAACAAAAAAAAACAGTGATAGGAGGGTGAATGTACTGTTAACTTTACTCAGTATGAGCTATCAGCATTTAATGGTCCAAACAATATTAGCACAAACCTGTCTTTCCAATGAACTGAGAGAAATTAGCAGCATAACTATCTTAACTATCTTTTATATAATATATATGTGTATATATATTTTTTTTCCTTTTGAAGTTTCTTCCCTTTTTACAGTATTTCTGATACATTTTGAATCACATTTACTTTTTCAGCTTTTCACACTAGGGAGACAATACAATGTTTACATATTTGCATCTGGTTTATTTCACTTATGATTATGGACTCAAGTTGCATCCGTATACCTATATGTCTCCAGCTTATCTTTCTTTTTGCCTGATTAATACTCTGTTATATTAAGACGCCAAATCTTTTTTATCCATTTCTTGGTTGATGGGCATTTGGGTTGTTTCCAAGATCTAGCTACTACAAATTGGGCTGCTGCAAACATGAATGCCCATATATCTCGGTGCTAGGATGTTTTTAATGCTTCTTGGAAGATACCCAGAAGGGGAGTACCTGGGTCAAATGGCACGAGAAATCACCACACTGATTTCCACAGTGATTGCACCAGTGTACACTCCCACCAACAGTGAAGAAGGGTTTCTTTTTCCCAGAGCCCCTCCAGCATTTGTTATTGGTTGATTTCTTGAGGACAGCTATTCTTTCTGGAGTGAGATCAAATTTCAGTGTTGTTTCAATTTGCATCTCTTGAATGACCATTGATGTTGAACATTTTTTCATAATTTGTTGTATTTCTTAATTTAAAAAGTGTGTTTTCATCTGAGATGCCCATTTTTGAATTGGGTCTTTGTATTCAGGAGGTCTGATTTTTTTTTTTTTAATTCTTTATACATTCTTGATAGTAAACCTTTGAGGAAGATCCAGCAAAGCTTTTTTCCTACACAGGGGTTGTCTCTTCACTTTTTTGGTGGTTTCTCTTGCTAATGCAAAAGCTCTTTCATATGGTGAGATCTCACTTGTTGATTCTTTGTGATAGTTCCTGTGTGATCAGTATTTGATTCATAAAGTCTTTGCCTATACCAGTATCTTTGAGTTGTACCTATTCTATTTGCCAGAAGATTTAATGTTTGTCTTAATATTTAGATCTTTGCTCCATTTTGAATTTAGTTTAGTGAGTACGTGGTGAAAAATATGGGTCCAATTTTAATTTTGATACATACAGAGCCAGTTTTTCCAGCATCATTTATTAAAGAGGCTAGCTTTCTTCCAGTGAATGTATTTGGCCCCTCTGTCAAATATAAGGTGGCTGAATATGTCTGGGGTTGTTTCTGCCTCTTCTCTTCTGTTCCCTTGATCTTTGGGTCTGCTTTTTGGCCAGTATCATGCTGTTTTTATCAAAGTAGCTTTACAAAATAATTTACATAAGTGATTGTGATGCGCCCTTCCTCCTCTCTGTTGCCCAGAATTGCCTTTGCTATTTGAGGTCCCTTCTGTTTTCAAATGAATTTTAGAATTGTTTTATCTAACTCTGTGGGATATACTATTGGAACTCTGATCAGAATTAAATCAAATCTATATAATGGTTTTAGAATTCTGGCCATTTTCAATATATTAGTTTTTCCTACCCATGAGCAAGGGATATCTTTCCATTTTCTGATTATCTGCTTCACTTCAGTCTCCTTTTCAGAGTACTGTAGTTTTCAACATAGAGGTCTTTTACACCCCTCATTAGATTCCTAGGTATTTCATTTCTTGGGATGCTATTGTGAAAGGTGTTGTTCCCTAATTTTTCTCTCAGTGAGTTTGTTGTGTAAAGGAAGACTATTGATTTTTGAGCCATGACTTTGTATCCAGCTGTGCTTCTGAATTTGCTTACTAAATCACCAGATTTTTTACTGGAGTTTTTGAGGATTTCTATATAGAATATCATATTGTCTGTAAGTAGTGATAATTTCACTTCTTCCTTTCCTACTGTTAATTCTTTTATTTCTGTTTTTCTTAATTTAAAGTGTCCACTTTTATTTTGCACAGCTTGCTTAGTTATTTGATTGGGCAGAAATGCCATATACAAATTTTTAATGGTCATATGATCAGAAATTCCAGCCAAACTACTAAAGCTGTTAAAGTAGCCTGAGAAACTCAAGCTGAAAAGATTTACTATCTAATCATTAAAATATTCAGTGAATAATGAACTTAAAATAGTGCTTACTGGTAGTCATTTTAAAGGTGAAAATATCATAACTATTTACATGAGCATGGGTTTGAATTATGTTCTTTTTCATGTATATTACAGTTTGACAGAATACAACTGGGAAGTCCATAAAAGGGGGATTTAAATAAAGGACCATTTTGTAGTGGAAAAAAGTAATGTGTCTGTGTGTGTGTGTGTATATATATATATGCTAGATATACAGCTACTTTCTCTTAGCTTAATGAGAAGGTTTGTACTAATATTGTTTCGGTATCACGTCTGCATCTTGTCCTCTGAATAACTACTATGAAGACAACTATGCAGTGTATTGTTGTAACTGTCCTACTAACCTGTCTTGAAACTATTTCCTTATTTTATCTTTTTTTCTCATTAAAGTGAATTTTTAAAAAACCATAAAAAGGATATTTCTTTGAAATGTATGCCTTTACCTTCTATAATTCTTTTATTTCTTTATCTTTTCTAATTGGTCTGGCTAGAGTTTCCAGGACTGTGATGAATAAGAGTGGAGACAGTGGACATCTTTGTCTTGTTTCTGATTTTAGAGCTGTCTCAGTCACTCGTCTCTCATTGCTGGGACAGATACCAGACACCCATAATGAAGGAAGGAGAGGTTTATTTATCTCACAGTTACTGGAGGTTTCAGTCCATACTCAGCTGGCTCCAAGAAAGCATGGCGTATGGCAGAGAGCAACCTTTCATGGTGGCAGCAAAGAGCAAGAGCGCAAAATGAAGGAGCAGCAGCAATGGCAACAGACAACAATGGCTACAGGGAGGAAGTCTCTCTCCCTTAATTTGCATTCAGGCTATCACCTCAGGCTGGGAGGAATAGTCACACCCATAATCCCAGCAGTACTAAAACCCATAATCCCCATGGATCATGAGTTAGTCACAAACTCTAAAAGTCCCCACCCAGTGACTGCATGAGGCTTTGGGGGGACAACTAGACACAAACCATAACAAGAGTGAAAGCTTTTTGTCCATTTAGTATGATGTTCGCTGTTGGTTTGTCATAAATGGCTTTTGTTACATCAAGATAAAGACCATCTATTCTGATTTCCTGTAGTTTTTATCATGGATGGGAGCTGGGCTTTGTCAAAAGCTTTTTCTACATCTATTGAGATGATCACATGATTTTTGTCCTTGGCTCTGTTAATGAAGTGTATTACATGTATCATGTATGTTGGACCCTGCGTCCCTGGTATGAGCCCCACTTGGTTACAGTGTATAATCTTCTTGATGGTTTGGTGCATTCTGTTGACCAGTAACTTATCAAGGACTTTTTTCATCTGTGTTCATTAGGAAGACTGGCCTGCAGTTCTCTTTCTTGGTTGAGTCCTTCTCTTGTTTTGTTATGGGGTAATGCTCGTTTCCAAGAACGAATGTGAGAATATTGCTTCCCTTTCAATTTCATTAAAGAATTTGAGCAGTGTAAGTGTTAAGCCTTCTGCAAATTTCTTGTAGAATTCAGTAGTGAATCTGTTAGGCCTCAGCTTTTC